CGTTAACGAAGATTCTTATAACGAAGTCCTGATCGGCTGGATCAGCAACTTCGTTATATCGAGGTGTGACTGTATAAGGAATATATGTTTAGCCAACCAATATTATGAAGAAGAATATGATAATGAAGAGTATACTTCAAAAGAGTATTATGAAGAAGAAAAATGTAAAATCTACTTGAATATTAGATCTAAACCTTATCCAAAAAATACTATTTCTAAAAATAAGAGAAAACAAGTAAAATCTCAAAATCCACTTAAACCTATAATTGTTGATAATTTGAAAATGGAAGATCTTAGACTAGAACTTATACTTAGACTAATTAAAGTTGAAAAAGTATTAAAAACCTTCAATAAAAGTTATTGCCTACTCCTATTTAACAACCAACTGAATTTAATGTCTTAACATATTTGCTAAATTTATCATGTAAACTTTTAGTAAGCTAAACTGCATATGCTATTTCTAAATATCATTTTAAATTAACTTGAGCTATTAGACATTCAAGAGAAAGAGCTATTAATAAAACTAAGAAGGCTAAATTAGTAGAAAGCAATGATAAACTAACCTTTACTGCAAAATGCACTTTGAGGATTAAACATAAAGCTCAAACTGCAATTATTAATAGTAGAGCTGCTACTAGTATTATCACTAAAGCCTTAGTAGAAAAACTAGGATATAAAATAAACTGACCATCAAAAATAATAGTAATAATAGCAAATGATACTAGAACTCATTTTCTTGAAATAATTAATAGTATTTCAGTGAATATTGAAAAAATTAAAGTACCTACATCTTTTCAAGTACTCGAATCTAGAGACAAAATTTTTATACTTAAAAATGATTGGCTCAGAGAAACTAATGTCACAATAAGCTGAAAACAATCAATCCTTACTATCAAACAAAATGGAGTTACTATGAAAATTCTTATTGCTTTCATTAAAATAGTCAAAGTTGTGACTTAAAAAGCTGAAGATGAATATGAAGTGATGAATATAAGGATGAATATTTAGAGAATATCCTATCTATTTATTTGATAATGTAAAATTTAATTTGGATGATGAATTAAAATTTAATCTCTAGTTTAACCATTACTTTTCTATTTAATCTGAAGAGAATACTGATGACAATGAGGAACTAAATAAATTATTAAAAGATAATTCAGCCACTTACTTTACTAAAACCACTAGATATTTAGCTAAAATAGATTCAACTCATATGGAATAACTAGGACCTTTAGATTACCATCAACAATATGCATTTTTAAATCTTTTGTCTGATTACTATGATATTTATGTAAAAAGTCAAATAGAAATAAGATGAACAACAGAAATTAAATATTATAATTATACTAAAATAGCTATATCAATTGCTCAAAAACTATACTAAACAAACCCTAAAAACACTAGATTTTTGAATAAAGAATTAAAGAAAATGGAAGCACATAATATAATTCAACCTTCTTATAGTCTATAAGTCTCACCTGTTATTATTATAGGCAAGAAAAGAGAAGAAAAAAGATTATATATCAATTATCAAAAAGTAAATATTGTTATAAAAATTGACACATATCCACTATCAAGAATTGAAGATTTACTAGATTTATTAGATAGAGCAAATTGATTACTACTTTTGATTTAATTAGTAGTTACTAGTAAGTAACAATGTATTTTAATGATATTAAAAAAACTGCATTCATCATAGTGAATGAATTATACGAATTTTATTCATACTTTTTAGATTAAACAATACATCTAAAATATTTCAAAGGCTTATAAATTGGATTCTTAAAGACTTTTTTAGATTATTCATATCAGTTTATCTAGATAATATAATTATTTATCTAAAGGAACCTTTCAAATAATATGTCAATCATGTTAATCAAATATTTCAAGCCTTTAGAAATGTTCATCTTACAATAAAATTGAAGAAATGCTACTTTTATTAGCCTTTTAACATTCTTAAAACATATTTTAGGATAAGGAGGAATTTAACCTGATCCAGAAATAATTTAAAAAATTAAAGAATTTTTATAACCAAAAGCTTAACTCAATTAAATGCTACCTTAGGATTATTCAAATACTATCAAAAATTTATTAAAGATTTTATATGACATACTAAACTTTTAATTTTATTATTAAAGAATGATTAGCCTTTTAAATGAAAAGAAAAATAATAACATATCTTTGACTGAAAGAAAGACTTATTAAAGTACCAATATTATAATACTTAGACTTTAATATACCTTTTATTTTATATACTAATGCCTTAAAGGAAAGGATAGGTGTTATTCTATCCTAAAAGAAGGATGAAAAAGAATATGTAATTGCCTATATAAGTAGATTGACTAATAAAACTGAAGAAAACTATCCAATCACTGATTTAGAATGTTTAGCAACTGTTTGATCAATAAAATGCATTTATCATTATTTAAGTTGACCATTTATTATCATAACTGATCATGCTATTTAAAATGGCTAAAAACTTCAAAAATGCTAAAAAGAAGACATACTAGATAGATATAAAATTGTAACAATATCATTTTACTATAGAATACAGAGCTGAAAAGTATAATACAAATGCTGATGCATTATCTCATATATATAATGAAGAAACTGCTAAATGCTTTATAATTAACCTTACTGAATCAAATATAGCAGATGATGAGATTAATAATATTATTGTAAGAGAACCTGAAGAAGATATAAAATAGCATATTTCTTTTTTTAAATCTAGAAAAAATGATGAATAGTTTGAAAATGAATTATTGCAATAGTATTCTAATACCATTATGGTCCAGTGCAAAAATATAGATACACCAATATATTTATAGTAAAAAAATAAATTTTTAAATTTAATATAAACATTTAAACATTTTTATTTATTA